TTTTGGGGACAACAGCACACTGGCACATCTCTTACTCTCTTGGATCCTTGGTTATATAATTTGTAAAACAGAAGTTGTAACTCCTACTTTGCACGATCATTGGTTAGGATTCAATAGATGATGCATATAAGGTACCCAGAACAATGCATACTAGTTCCATTTTCATTCCTTTTGCATTTTTGTTGATAACTCATAAATCACAAGCATCAGACAGAAAATAAGTACAGAGGATCAGTATTCAATTTTGTTGCTTTTGTACCATGAAACATATTGTGGCTGTTACTTATTAGGATTCGAAATGCATTTGGTGGTGTCTTAGGTGAACTGCTGACAAAGAGAGGCTGGGATGATTCTGTCTGCAATGGGAGGAATGGAGAACATCATCTGTAAGGCTGGAGGAAAGGAGGGGGGGGGCTGAACCCTGAAGGAACTGCAACAAGGCCTCAGCCAATCAGATACAAGAGTGGCCAGAGATGCCCACCCACTTTTGAAGGGAGGGACTAGGCCTTCATACTCCAGCATGGACCGGTTGCTGGATACAGGCTGCTTAGAGAGGGTATGGCTTAGAAGAAGGAATGCACATCAGCTGAGGTTAATGCTTGAGATTGGGGGGGGGGGGGTGGACCAATTTCCCCACTCAGTAGGAGGGAGGCTGGGGTCTCAGAAGGCAGTCAGAGATGAACATGTGCTCCACCGAACTTTATTTTAGCAACTAGTGCATCAGTGCCAGAAAGTGAAGCCTTACATTGTGAGAACAACAGCCCCCTAATTAATCTGTACAGATCAGATAGTGCTTCTACTGTGATCTCCAGAAGACTGCTTTCTCTAATAGTTGAGATGATATATGAAATGCCATATTTTCTCAGAAATACAGAAACCATATTTTAGACATGACAGTGCCCTCTTATTCTTTTTTTTTTTTGTACTGTGTATTAAGGTATGCCTATAATTACAGACCATTCTATAATCATTTAAGATACAAATCATATTTTTCCCACTTATACAATCCTGAGAGCTTGTCCATTTATTTCATTTGTACCCCCTTACAAACACACAGATATATATAAAAGTTGGATGAATTTAGGTGAAAATATCCAGTGTCCAAAATCTAATTTGAGATAAGGATTTTCTGAAGATGGAAGAACTTCACAGTGACCATTTCTGCAAGTGTGCATGTTCAAGGAGAAGAATAAAACAATTCCCATATCTAAATATCCTAAATGGATGATTCTTAATATTAAAAATGTCGAAGATCCAATGTTATGAACCATGCATATGTAAAAGAGTATATAATAGGCATTCAAGTTTTATACTTTCCCTCCCATCAGGCCCACAAAGACACATATTTATCATGGATGATGGAATGTATATACAGGTAATTATATGCTTCTATGTAAAGTACTAACTCACTTGTGAGACTGAAGGGTATGTAAGTCTTAACTGTACTTAAAGGTGAGGGCCCTCTTTGACATACCACATATTTAATAAGGAGTGTTTTTTGAAGGAATAGAAAGTTTAGAGGAGGGTAGAAGATACAGGTTACCACTCATGATATGCCCCAAAGGGAATCTTTTAGAAAAGTGAAACCACTTGTGTTTTTTCTCTGGGTCAAAAGTCACCCCAAGCAGATAAGCAGTCTTATCCTCTGTTGTATGATGTTTAAATTAAAACCTCCAGGAAGGTCTGACACAACCATAGAACCTAATGTGGCGATGCTGGGGAAATAAAGGGTCAGGAGAGTTTTTATTAAAACACAGATAGTTCAGTGCTAAAAAGAAATGAGTTATCAAGTCTTGAGAACACATGGAGTAAACTTAAATGCACCTTCATAAGGGAAAGAGGCCAATCTGAAAAAAAATAATATACTTACGATTCCAACTATATGTCATTCTGCAAAAAGCAAAATAGGAGACAGCGAAAGGACTTGTTGTTGTCAGTTAAGAGTAAGGATTGAAGAGATGAAGCACAGAGGATTTTTAGGGCAATGAAAGACTTAGAATGATCACGTGATGGTAGAGAAGTGTCATAAAATATTTGTCCAAAACCACAGAATGCACAACACCAAGGGGGAACCCCAGCATTAAATATGATGGGCTTTGGGTAATAATGTCAATGTAAGTCCATCAACCGCAATGAATGTACCACTGTGGTGTGGAATGTTGATCATGGAGGAGGCTGTGTGCAGAGGCGGCAGGATGTATATGGGAATTCCTTGTTCTTTATGCTCAGTTTTGCTGTGAACTGAAAGCTCTCTGAACAATAATGTATGAAAGAAGAAGGGTGTTCTGCTCTATGTCAAGCCCTTGTCTGATGGTCATGTAACAGCACCAGCTCCCCATGCAAGACATACTGAGGGAGCAGATGAGATGCAAAGTGATGAGCAGGCTGACCAGAAGCCAGGTTAGATAAGGAACACACAGCAAAAGATTCTAGGGAGACATCTTTATCTGTATTTCTACTGATGACATCTGGCAGTATTTTAGAAACCTTTATCTTATTCAATATTAGGGTTTGAAAAGAATTTGGTTTATCTGATATACTAACATAGCCTTTCTTCCAACCCTTAAGAAACTGGCTAAACTTTGGTATTGTGATTTCATCTCAGTTTCCACCATACATTGCAGTTCTTTTCTTAGAAGATCCTGGCACCGAACGTCACTGACACTTGAGCTATTGTGAACTCTTGGCAATGCTCTCCTCAACATCAACCTCATCTCATGACCCAGGGTCCCTGAAAATTTAAAATTAGCTACTAAAATTACCATGGCATTTTCTGTATACTTCAAGTATTGTAGCTCCTTGTAGATTCCTGCACAGAGACTGCAAACACCACACCAAATGCCCTTGACATAGCAAATTAAGATCCAGTTCACCATACCTACTCAGATACTGTGACTGACACTGTTGGCTTCAGAATCTCTAATTTTTCATTTATCCTAAAGACTTGGCCCCGATTCTGTCATTTTTGGCTCTCTCAGACCCATGTCTACCCTTTATAATTTCAGGCCAAATAATTATAACTTAACCTAAGGACTCCCATTAATCACAGTTATTTTTAGTGATTTTTTAACAACATATTTAATATATGTTAATTTAACATGTTTTAATGTATTTAAAAGTGGCTTGGAAAAATAACAAATAGAAAAAGTAGTGATAAATATTGAGTACGATCAAAAACATTTTGGGGAATATAATTTTAATTTTTCATTTATCCTAAAGACTTGGCCCCGATTCTCCTTTATGTTCTCCTGAAACAATTTCTCTTTGAACAAAGACACAGTTTCCACAGAATATTAATTTTGAGATACTGTAGAAGTACAGATACTGAAATGAATAAGAAAAGGGTTTGATTGCCAGTTTGAACACTTAATAGCTTTGTGACCTTAAGAATATTATTCAATCAATGTTAGCCTTAATTCCCACATCTATAAAAGGAATATAACGACCATATCTTTCTGTAAGTAAAAATTGAATATGAAAATGTACATACAGCCTTTAGTTCAATGCTAGCCCATAATAAAGACATTGACATGATTATTTTAAAATATCCAATTTGAAGAAATTCATTCCTAGTATTTCAGTTTGACAATTGTTGGCCACTATAAGTTTTCCTTGGAACTAGCTCTGGTTTGAGTTGCTAAACCGGGCATATCTTTGTTCTGGCTTCATTCTACAATATCATGTTACTTCTCCGAAGGATGTTTGTGACATCAAGACAGGTGAATTAAAATGCCAAAGCTCACACCATCAGCACCAGCAACCCAAACTTCAACACACACAAAAAAAACTTTAATCATGTGATTTAAGGTGGTTTCACCAAGAAGTTAATAATAAGCAAAATATTTTTCTTAGGAAGCTCAAAGTAGAGACTGTGAAATACTGATTTTTAATCATGACTTAAGTACCTTTGTTTTCAAGGTTCATATCACACTTAGAAAATTGAATAGTTCTCAAGTACTTTCTGGTGACAACTTTTGTTCTTACATATCTTTGACAAATAACATTCATGAATTGAATGCCATACATTTCAAATCCTTTACATTATTCTTGCTCATTCACAAACACACACACAGTCACACACACACACACACACACGTGTGCATGCACGTACAGTGCAGTGCAAGGTAGAAGGAATTTCAATTTAAAACATGTTGTTTTTCTTATGTTGATAGTCTTAAAACAAATTACAAAATTACATATCTTCATAACGTCAAAAATCAGAATAGATTGAAATTCGGCTTCATTTCAAGAAGCCAGCAAAATTTAGTTAAAATGTTATACTTACCAGACATGAAACATGACCAGATTATAATACTGCAACCCTTTGTGGTTGCTATGCCTTTAGCTTTCCAAAGTCCCCTCTGACAAGTCCATCCACCTCTCCCCACCTCTCTGAATTTCCTAATAAGCTTCCATTTGTTCCCAAAAGAGTTTTGCGCTATTTTTAAAACCTCCTTTCTCCTAAGCAACACCTACTTTACTCTAAAGTGATCAAACAAACCATAAATTTTTACAAGCAAAGACAAACAATCTGTCCCATGCTAACACACCACAGTTTCTTAAACACCTATTTGAAAAGAGATATTTTACTTCAAATCAATTGCAATCTTAACAACTGAATTCCCCATTCCCACAAAACAACAACAACAAAAAAACATCAAAAACCCACTGCTGTATATACACCATGAAAGGTATCTATTTCCATATCTAACAGGTGAACATCAAGAAACTATAAAATCAACTTTATAAAGTTATCAAAAATTTCCTGGTGGTCACAACCCTAATACAGTTACGTATACACAGCAGACAATGCTTCTCCTCTCCCAAAGAGAAATGACATATGTTTACATGTTGTGCTGACAAAGCTTTTATATAATGTTTCTTTCTGGTATAAAAAATACAAAAGGGATGAATCTACTCTTTTATCTTCACATCTTTTATCACACAAAAAACTTAAGTTGGTGACGTAAAATTGAGAACGTATCTTTAGAAAATCTTACCATTGTCGTTTTTCAGCATCCCATTGCTGAGTTGCTTCAATCTCTTCTGATGTGATTTGCCATTGTAGTGGATTTGTGCTTGAGCGGCGGAATTCAGCTGAATGTTACACACGTTGCACAAAGTGAAGTTGGTATGTTTCTTTTCTCTTTCTGATTTTTCTTCAAAGTCATCAGGTATGAACTCAGTCTCACTTTCCCCATCTTGTGCACATGTGAAATCTGGAAGTGGCAAGACAGTAATAATAAGCAAGCAGAAAAAAAGATGTCTGTATTCCTTTGTATTTATTAAGTCAAGCAGCAAATCAGTATCACTCTAGGGATTCAAGAATTTAAAATTTCCACTTCCTCCCATTTTAATTGGTTGCATTAAAAAATCCAAAAAGCAGACTGTTTTCTTCATAGAATTCAAGAGGCAATGTTCCCTATTTTTTTTTCTAGACTGAATACTAGACTGTCTAGGTATCTAGTACCCATTATCTCATTTAATCATTGTAAAAATGGAAGAGGCTCCCTAGTTTTCTCTATTTCATAGTTGAGGAAACTACGTTTTCAAGAAGTTAAGTAGTTTTTCTAAGATCACATAGTTAGTAAGTGGTATAGTTAGAATAAACATGCAATTCAATCTCTAAATCCCCAGTTCTCAATCATTACATTCTCCTGCATGTATTAATGCATTAGATATTTTCCTTTTGATTGAACTGAATAAAATTCCCAGATTTTCAAATACCTCACCAGTTAAATAAAGTAACTTACCTCTGTCTGGATACTTTCTACATTAAAACACAAAAGATCCCCTGAAAACCAAAGACAGCCTCAAAATCAGGGGGCAAAAAGAGTGACTGATCTATGGGTTGCACTAGAAAATATTATTAGTGGATAAACAGATGCTTTGTATACCCAAACCAAAGATAAACAGGAAATTCACAATTTCAGAATCTCTGGTCTTAAGATGTCAATAAAGAACTACTGAAAGGCATATTATTAATTTTAAAATCAATTATAATAAAAGCTCTTCTCCAAAACTTTTCTATGCTTCCCCTTAATAGGCCTCTGCAGAGCTCTTTAGATATGATTTCTGCATTCCAATTCTGTAAATTTCCAGGAGTAATGTGGAATGAGGCAGCATTCTATAATGAGGTGACACTGTTCCAGGACCTGGAGATAACCAACAAGCATAAGAAATATGGTCCCGGCTATCATGCAAACTCACTGATAAGGGTGGGAAAGGTAAGGACTCTAGTATCAGATAAATGAGATAACATAGGCCAAAATAATTCACTATTTGGCCAGTAAGATTTTGAAGAAAATCCAACTAGTAAACTACTATGAAAAACTCAATATGTAAATCTATTTAAATATATTGAAGGTATTCTCCAAGTTCCAAAAGGAGTAGAAAAAATTTAAGTATTTCATTCAGGAATTTTATAGACAAATTTATTTAAACTATGCTGTTCTTTTTTTTGTGTGTAAAAAGGAATTTTTATTTTTGTTACTTAAATAGCCCTATTAAAATACAATATACAATTTAACAGGTCATATTGAAAAGAAAATCCATATGCTTTACAAAATGATTATATGACTTCAGTTAAAGGAAAACATATACTGGCTTTTTGTATAAATAAAACAATTTAAGTATCTACTCAAGATTATATTAAGAATATTTCAAAGGTTTTTTTTGAGACAATTTATACTTTTAAATTCTAATCTCTAACATCATTCAGTAGTGAAAAAATTACTCAAATGATGATGTACCTAATCACTGCCAGTTTGTACAGCCATTAAAATAAGACTGGGAAAAAATTTTTACATGGCAAATTCTTTTGCGTGTAATAAAAATATAAAATACATATGCATATGACTATATAAAACAAAAGGCAGACATAGTTAAAATAGTAGGGCACAATTTGATTCCCAATGTTGAGATTAGAGTTGAGGATTATTCCTTTAGTATTTTTGTATTTCTAAAATTTCACGACGATGGTTAACTATAATTATCATGAAAAAACATATTTCAAAGAAATAAGCAAAACATAAAAATGCTGCTATCCTTTGGAATGAACAAGTTAGGTGTGTCTAAACTAGACCATGCTGCAGAGAAAATCACAGAAGCTGAGCCCTTGTGACACATCATTTTGCTAAACATATTATGTATGTTTGGAAGGAAACATTTTCTTCCTTGATTCCACATTTCTCCCTTGACTCACAAAAAAGAATGTCTGCCAACCATTTAGCAGGGGAAAACACCACAGAAAAAAATTTCCTTTCAAGGCTATGAGATTTATTTGCTTATCAAGAGAGTTTTTCAATACACAGGAGAAAGTAAAGACTATGTCACCAGATAGTGTCAACAATTAGTTTTGTTCTGGGGGGGCGGGAGGCAAGATAGAAAGTAAGATACGTTACCTGTGTGATATAGACACTACAGGGAAAAGGAAATCTCAAATAAATAAATTCCTGGTACTGGGTATGACATCATAAAACATCTATAGATTTTGCCCAAAAACATCTCAAATGGCGCACTGATATTAGAGACAGTATGCATAAGTGAGTTTTCTTCTCAGTCTGTGTCATGTTGAGATTATAGAATTTAAATTTGGCTCGTTTGCTTTCCCTTGAGAAAAATCTTCAGTGGTCATACATATATTTTAGGCAACTTGCCTTGCAATCCAAAATACTTTATCAATTTTTTTCCATATTTTCTCTACCTAATCCTCATTCACCAGAATCACTGGGACACTAGGAAGGTGCTTGACTTGACACAGTAATGTTGGTCTACACTATAGCATGTAATAGGTTCAAGGACAAGAGTTATGCTTGGGCTCCTCGAACCCCTAAGGTCAGAGGAGCTGCCTCAGGACCCAAAGAAAAAGAGACCCTAAATAAATGTAAAGAATTATTAAGAGGATTAATGAGGAGTCGCTCTGTGCCCGGAACCTGACCAGCTGAACAGCAGCTAGCCGCAGATGGGCAAAATTGAGCGCTTCAGAGTTCTGGCAGTGTAGAGAAGCAGAGTTTCAGATCTTGTGGAGATCTGTCACCGGTGTCTCCACAGGGCACCTGACGGAGGACTAAAATTTGGACTGAGTGGAGAAATAGCCCAGTTTCCTCCTCCTCACGAGACACCCTGGCTCAGAAACGGGCAGTCACCATCTTGGAAAATCTACCTCAGCAGCTTTGGGCAGATCGCATGGCAGTGAGATTGGCAACAGATCAGGTGTGTGACCCCCAGCCCCACCTCCACCAAGCTGAGATAACTCAAAAACTTTCTCCGTGGGCATGAAAATCAAAGCCCAGGGAAACTGCAAAGGCACCTATCTCCAACTCCCCCTCCCCCCAGCAGTGATAACCAAAACCTTTCTCACCAGCACTCGGTGGGCGTGGCTATCAGAGGGAGTAAGACAGAACAGGTTGTCTGTTTCCAACTCCCCCTTCTCCACAGCTGTGATGACTGGGTGACTACCAAAGAGAGTGCTCAGTTGATCAAGAGTTCAGGGTGGCCAGGGCGCCAAATGCCCAGAGTGAAACCAGAGCTGTGGAGAAGAGTCCCAGTAATTGGGGCCTGGCAAGCAGGAGAAGTGAGGGGGACAGAGGCCAGGAACAACCCAGAGACAGGGATTGGAGAGGCACCCAGCAGGGGAGAAAGAGCCACCCCACACGGATTGCTTCCTACATCCTGAGGGCAGAGAATCAACCTGGAATGCACAACACCACCTACTGGAGGAGAAGAAAACAGAATTATAGAGTGCATTTTATTTTCTTTCTTTCTTCTTCTTTTCTTTGTACTTTTCTTCCTCCTTCTCTTCCCTTCCCAACCTCCCAAGTGTTACTACTTCTACTACATATAATTTACTAAATGCAAATAGGCGAATGATTCTAGCTTTTTATAATCCTCCCAAGTACTTAGCTACCCCCCAATACTCCTGTCTATTCTCCTGTTAATAACCCCCTTCATTAGAGCTCTCCTCCAAAGTAGCTAAGATATATTAACCCCCATATCCTCACATCTTTCCCCCTAAACATAAAGTCCTACGACCAACCTTCAGTTCTCTATACGCCTTTATGTAGCTAATGAATTTACTTTAAATTACAACTGAACCCAACATCTCTAGACACTATCTCCCATCACAAAGGAAAGATCTCGGAACTATACAAAAGCAAAACAAATTTATAGGAGAAAATAATAACACAGCAGTCACACAGAGCTGGAAAGAAACGTGAGCATCATGAAAAAAAGGAACACAACAATGCAGGACAACTCAACAATAGAGGAGTTGGTAGCCACAGCAGAGAAAATGTCAGATAAATATTTCAAGATATACATTCTTCAGTTGATCTGGAGTCTCAAGGAAGACCTTATACAGCAAATGCAGGCAATGAAAGATGACTTTGACAATGAATTACATGAACAAATCCAAGAAGCAAAAGAGCAACTCTACAGGGAGATAGAGGTTATCCAAAAAAAACTCAAGCAGAAATCCTGAAAATGAAGGAAAGTATAAACCAAACTAAAAACTCAAATGAGAGTATCGCCAGCAGAGTAGACCAATTAGAAGTCAGAACATTAGACAATGAAGACAAAATGTATCATCTCAAAAAGAGTCTAATAGACTCAGAAAGGCTGATAAGAAACCACGAGCAGAACTTCCAAGAGATTTGGGATATCATAAAAAGACCAAACTTAAGAGTCACTGGGGTAGCGGAAGGTATACAGGTCCAAACCAAAATGAGCAATCTATTCAATGAAATAATTTTAGAAAACTTTCCAGACATGAAGAATGAAACAGAAATCCAATCCTAGAAGCCTATGGGACGCCAAATGTACAAAACCACAAGAGACCCACACCAAGATATATTATAATGAAAATGTCCAACATACAGAACAAGGAGAGAATTTTAAAAGCCACAAGAGAAAGGAAGCAGATTATATTTAAAGGTAAACCAATTAGGTTAATGGCTGATTTTTCAACACAGATGCTGAAAGCTAGATGATCCTGGAACAATGTATTTCAAACACTGAAAGATAATGGGTTCCAACCAAGAATCTTGAATCCAGAAAAATTAAGCTTCAGGTTTGACGATGAAATAAAAATCTTCCACGATTAACAAAATTTAAAAGAATTTGCAGATAGAAAACCAGCACTGCAAAGCAATCTGAGCAAAACATTACATGAAGAGGAAATGAAAAACAACAGTGAAAATCAACAGTGGGAGGTAGCACA